AGTCTTTGATGGAATTGAAGAATGAATAGATAGTTATAGTTTTCCTTAGTTATGATAAAAGATAAAATAGATATATTGTAACTGTAATTCTTGCTTGATAACTGTTTTGCTATATGTAATTTTACTATGTTAAAATTAAAGCCTTTCTTTTTTTGTTTAAACAGAAAAAGGGGAAATGATGGAGGTGAGTCTTGTATCTTATCTGTTGCTTTCATTGGTTAATAATAAAGAAACTGCCTCGGCCCTCATAGGACAGAAAATTAGGTAGGTGGAGTAAACAGAAGAGAATGCTGTGAAAAACAAGCTGAATCAAGGAGTCGCCATGATTCTCCCATGCCAGACAGACGCAGGTTAAGATCCTCCCTGGTAAGCCACCTTGTGGGCTACACAGAAAATATAAATGCGTTAGAACAATATGTAAGAGCTAGCCAATAAGAGGCTGGAACTAGCCGGGCCAGGCAGTGTTTAAAAGAATACAGTTTCCCTGTAATTATTTCGGGCATAAGCCTGCCATGTGGGAGCCAGGGCTGCAGGAATGCAGCCCTGCCGCTCTTACTTCAACAAGCAAAACTTCTGTTCTCTATAGTGTTTGTTATATATATTATTTATTATTGTTTATAGTTGTAGTTGGTTTAGTTCTGTCTTATTTAGACAAAAGGGGGAGATGTAGGGTTAGGCCCGCCCCTAAGGGGGCTGGCTCGCCTCGGGCGAATGTTTACTGATAAATTGGGCAAGCAGAAACTGTGGGCCCCTTCCCGCTTCTTGTACTCTGCTGGAACCTTGGTTTCGTGAGTCTGGTTTTTCCATTAGAGTTGTGCAAATATCTATTACAATTTGTCTTCATTAATCTATACCGCCACAGCCTTGATCTCAGTCATCCTCCTGCTTCAGGCCCAGAGGACTGAATTAGAAGTATGTGCCAGTGTGCCTGGCAGTGAGAAGTCCTCTGGATGTGTATTTCCTGGGTATTCCTCAGCCCCAGGCAGCAGCCTGCTCTGCTTGTGCCCAGAAAAGTCACGAAGACTTACAGTATCAGTGATGAGCATGGGGAGGAACTAACACCTTGCCCAAGATAACCACAATAAAATCTCAAACCTCCATGGAGAACAGTCTCGCTTGGAGGCCTCACCACAATAAGTGTACAATTAGAGTTATTTCTGTGTACGCTCAGGGTGAGCCCAGGACCTCACATGTGCTCTACAAGGACTTTTCCAGAGAGCTAGGCCAGCGATCAAATTTGCCATCCTCCTGCAGCTGTCTCCTCATTTCTGCAGTGTCTACACTGATGTCAACAAGGAACCCCATCTACCTCCCAGCCATATTCAGGGGGTTTATCTCGGAGGCTTTTCTCCTCTTCTACTGTACACCAAATCTAGAAAGATCTTTCATCATTAACTTCTCAACTCTGCCTTCATGAATCAACCTTGATAAGAAATCTGTACTGAGCATCTCCTGCATGCCAGGCTCCCTGCCAGGTGCTGGGCTATACTGAACAAGAGAGATACAGGCTTGGTCTCAGAGCCTACAGGGAGAGCCAGTAATCCCATAAACAACTATACAGGTCCAGGAGACTGCAGAATCCAACCGGCTGAGGAAACCATGCTTAAGCCAAGCACAGAATGATTGCAATTTCAGGCTCTACTAGGGAATCAGAATATACCTGTGCACAAGAGTCAGGAAAACATCCCAGGATCAAACACACACGTGACACAGCTGGTTTCGTCAATCTTTCATTTAACTGTAAATTCCAAAAAGCAAGAAGCTCAGCTTTCCTCCATACCCCCTGCACCATGCAGGCAATGCATGTTTGCGGAATAGCAGGGGCGGGGGGGGGAGTGGCCTCAACTCTACACACAGCCTTACTTCTTGTCTAGGCGGGGCCCATGCCATCTCACAAAACTCTGAGATGACCACAACAGACCAGTGAGGGTGCTTAGTGGGGGTCAGTTCTCTCTCCTGCCCCTTCCCTCACACACCTGCAGAGCAGAAACACAGTTGTTACTTCCGTGCTGGCTAGGGCTTGCCATTTTGATAGTGACCACCCAGGTGACCAAGGGGCTGGACCAGGGATCTGAGTTACTCATGTTCTGGCCATCATTGTGAATTTACAGCCTGAGTGGCTACTGTAAAGTGGGATTACCAGTCTGAAGAACAGCAGCTGCTGGCTTACATGCTTACAATGAGATATTTATCGTAAGCACTGTTACCTACAGCCATGGCTGCTGCTCACTCTGGCTTCCTTAGGGAAGTGTCCTCTGCTGGGTCTTAGGGTGGCAAGTGCTTGCAGAACTGTCTCTCCACCAGACAGCCTGTGTGCTTTTGTGCCTTGCCTTTGTGTTCCAGGAAATGTGTCTGGTGAGGCTCAGTCACTCACGGATTTTAAGAGGTGGAGCTAAAGTCTGGGCTTGGTTCCACTTAGCTCTACACTGTGTGTGTATCCCGCCACCTCAAGTCGCTCCCTTGACAGAGATCTTGAAGTAAGATCTAGAGACTTCCCCACCCCAGGGAACTTGTTTCTACCAGCTCTTGCCCGTTACCAGCATGGGCCCAGTGAAGGCCAACCTCTGCTGCCTATGTCTCTCCCTCCCTCTCTTCATGCAGCGGCCTGAACTAGCTTTCAACACACTTAGCATTTGATGCCACTGCCATTCAGGGCCCCTGTTATCTGGCTCAGGTCTGCATATCAGCACAGGAAGAACTCGATCTTCCACACTTTCTCCAGCTTGAGAGCTGTTTTTGAGCTGCCCTTTGCCCAGTGTGCTCTTCCCTTGGGCTGCAGCATTCTCCTTCATTAGCGTCAGCTTAATCATTGCCTCCTAGGGCCACCTTCTCTGATCCTTTCAGACACGCTCCAAACATCTCTGCATTTGCTATAGGCCTGATCTGATCGATCTCTCTCTCCCTTAAACAGACTACTGGCCTTGCCTACCCTATTATACCTAAATGAAAACTCATACTAGAGTAAGTACTTTGTTTTTTTGCCTTCCCTGAAATACAGATCGTACCTGAAACAGAGAGAACAGTTAGCATCTGATGATTATGAGATCTTGATGGGCACATGATTCATCCTCTCCACAAGCAGGTAGTGGAAATATAGAAAGAACAGGGCATGACTTAGTGCCTTTTATGAAGAACAAGGACCATGCTTTATTGGACTATCAACCAAAGCCACTCACATAGATCCTGCAAGCAGAGCTCACTAGACTTCCTGAATGAAGAAATGATGTGGTCTGTGTCTTACCACCAACTGGAATACATGTTGAGCAGGGCTTGATCGCCCACTTTAATCCCAGCTTCCAGGAGACAGAGGTAGGTGAATATCTGTAAGTTTGAGTTCGATCTGGTTTACATAGCTAGATACAGGCCAGCCAGAGGTACACAGTGAGATCTTGTCTAGGACTGCTCACACATGCAAGCACACACACACACACACACACACACACACACACACACACACACACTCACACGTGCACATGAGCACTGAGCCAGGCCTGGTGGCTCATGCATGCAATCCCAGCACTAGGGAGGATGAAGCAGAAGGATTACCATGGGTTTAAGGTGCGCCTGAGCTACATTGTGAGAACTTTTTCCATAAAATAACCACACAAAAGAAAAGAAACACATGTATACTGTGAAATATTAAAGAGGACGACTTAGCCTCTCTACAGATTTAGGAGTTACTAAAGGTGGGGATACCTGGTTAATGATGGCCCACTATTAGGAGGGAGATCAGACATTCTTTAATGAAAAACAACTTAACATGTGTGAGCATTCCGCCTGCATGCATATCTGCTCACTGTGCACAGCCACTGCCCCCACACACTGCGGACATGTTCTATTCCAGGTACCCAGTTCTGACACCTCATTTGCTGGTCACAGTGGTCCCACTGTAGCCATTACCTCTTCCCTTTTACAGACGAGGAAACAAACACAGATTAAATAAATTGCCCAAGTTTATATAGCTACCAAATGACAGAAAAGCATCCTGAATGTTTATTTTTAGAGCTCAAAAGTATGTTTTTCCTTTATGCTCCGAGGCTGCAAAAGCCTTTATGATGCCCCTCTGACACTGTGTTTATCAACCATCTCTTTGAGTCAGTATTCCTTACCTGAGCCAGGCACAAATGTTAGACACAAAAAGTGACAACGTTTTTTTGTTTAGAAGTATGTCCTTGGTACCATTTCAGTCTTAAAGCATCGAACCCACTCAGTGACAGTGTAATTAGTTGTGATTGGCATCAATTAGGTTACTGAATCCCAGAGATGCCCAGTGCTTGGGTTCTGACTGGGAGCGAGGCGCTAATGTTCTAGTCACAGCTCTGTTTTCCAAAGGGCAAAGCAATTTATCTTTTTTTTTTTTAAAAAAAAAGAAACAGAAATGTCAGTGGGTAGGTAGTTCCTTTTAGGGGTGATTAAAATATTCTAAAATTAGATTATGGTGATGGTTGTACAATTCTGTGAACATGTTAGACTGTTAAATTGTAGACTTCAATGCACAGATTTTATGGTATATGAATTCTATCATAATAAAGATGTTTTTCAAATGGCACATGAGAGATTTGACTGCTCAAGTTTTAATTATCTAAAGAGACACTAATAGAAGAAAAATAGAATCATTTTAACATTTTGATTTTTTTTCTGTATTTACCCTAAACATCAGTTTGCTTAATCACTAATATTATTATTACAGCATATAAAAAGAAGTCAATCCAAAGTTTATGCAAATCTTATAGACATCCAGATAGACGTGTAAAACCAGGCAACAACCACACATTCAATAAGACATTAGTCACAGGCCTCCTTTAAGGTTCAGTGACAGAAGCAGCTGAGCACTAAGGACACTTCACAGAACACTTTCCAGGACTCTACTCAGTTTCAGAGCAGAAGTTAAAGGCCTCCCGAGAGACATTTAAGGTCCCTTTACATTGTAACAAGAAACCAAGCCAGTTTACTGAAGTCTGATGAAGGCCTCATGTATGTCTTAATATGTGGCATGGCGCTGCTCCGGCCAGATGTCTCTGCTGACCACTTGCTAGTGACAGGAGAGACGTAAACCACTATTAGAAAATAATTCAAGGCAGACAAAATTCTTATATACTAGCGAGCTGCACGAAAAGCAACATTCTATCTAAGGACACAGTAGGAGCACGGCTCATGACTTGTGGTGGCTGATGGAACTGTTTAGATGACAGAAGAACATTCAATCATTCTGAAAAGTAAGGATGTCAAAAAAGGAAATTTAGCATGAGTCACAAAAGCATTAAACCCCCGGACATGGAGTTTCTTGTTCTTTCACATGACAACTAGCACACATGCATGCATGCACCATGTATATACGCAAGCATGCTTTATCTGTACATGTGTATACAGGTCTCTGGCTGTGAGCTCTTAGAAGCAGGAAGCCTATAGTGCCCTATAAGGCAAACTACTGAGTAGTGGCTCCCACAGAGGTCTCCCAAAGGAACAAACTGAGTGAAATACAATATATCGCAGGGGAGAGCTAAGAAGGCAGGAGGATCATTCACAAATGCTCCAGTTTTGTCTTGGAGAATAACTCCCACGTTTTCAACATTTGAGGACTAAGGTTCCAAAGCATCATGGCCTTCGTCATGAGGCCGTGATTCTGACTTGGAAGAGGATAATCCCTCAAGCTAGCAGGCAGTTTGCCAGCATAGAATCAGGACTATGAAGGCCTCCATTTTCTTCATCCGAGGGAACCTAGAAGCTTGAAACTGAAAGAAGCATACTTCAGCCTGCTCTGGAAGGACAACGCTCCATTTGGGGAGACATGACAGAAATGCAGCTGGCCAACAGGAATGTCAGCAGAAAGCTATGGAAATGGACTCCCCACCCCCACTTCTGGCCGCCCAGCTGCAAAAGCCCCTACTTTTGAATAAGACATTGGGATTAGTCTAGAACATTTGGGCAGGCAAGTGCGGTAGCTGGAAGAGAGAAGGACAAGCCTTCCCTTCCCTTCCCATCCATCACCTCACCAAACACCGTCATTCTCCTGGAGACAGAGGCAGGAAGTCCACCCTTGACCAGCGTGGCCTACGGCCTACATATATAGTTGAGATGGTAATACTTCACACTTCAGCAAAGCGAACAAAGCGCTGCTTATATAAACCATAAACTACCCAACATTTATTTATTTTTTTCTTTGCCTGCCAATATTTAAATAGAAACCTCACAGAGATATAAATTTTACCCTGGTTTTAAAAACCTATTCCAAAAGTTTTCAAAACCTTGTTTTAAATTATTTTTGTCACTAACATATGTAGATGAAAGAATAGCCGTGTTATATAAGGTGCTTTTTAAAAGAACAGATCGGCAGCACTCTTGATCCTGACTAAGCGAGAGCAGCACTGAGAACCAACTAGTCACTGAAAGTAGGAATGCAGCCAATTCTGTTTCTCAGCTGTCTGGATGCTATAGGGAAGGGAGCCCCCAGCTTTTAAAAGAAGGAAAAGAAAACAAATACAAATAATGAAATTTAATTTGAGGCATCTTCATTAAGAAGAAGATCTCTATAAACAGTGAGAAGGTAAATGACAAACCGCCTTTCATTATTTCATCTCAAGTCATAGTTCACTGAGAGAAAATGCCCACGCTTCCACCAGACACGTCACCTCTCTCTCTGTGTTTCTGTCTTTGTGCTCACACAGGCCAGGCAAGGCCCTGCTACTGAGCTACAACCCCAGCGCTCTTTACGGTCTCACGAAGTTGCCTAGGCTGACCTGGATCTCACTCTGTAGACCAGGTTGGCCTTGAATTTGTGATCCTGCCTCTCAGCCTTAAGAGTAGCTGGGATCAAAGGTCTGTACTACTAGAACCCAAATTAGAGACTTTTTTTTTTTTTTTTTTTTTTTTTT